GATGCTTCCTGCTTGTGGCTTTATTAAGCTTGCTTACGGTGATCTAGCTGATGCACACTCAGCATGGGATGTTCTGGGTAAGGTAGGGAAACAGTGGCTTTCAGCCTTCTTTGTGCTGATCCTGGAGATGGTCTGAGGTAGGGATGTGAATGGTTAACCAGTTAACCGGTAAGCCTCACCCTTAACAGGTGACGCTTACTGGCTCTCTACCCGCCACGGGCAGGAAGCTACTCCAGCCCTGAGAGGCCCACCTCAGGCAGGGACACGCCAACCATGGGCCTGTCCCGGGCTTGCCACAGGCAGGGGCACTCCAGCTGGCCAGAGCAGCATCACGTTTAACCAATTAAACAGGATTTTACATCCCTAATCTGAAGCAGGATTTTCTTGTGCCCAGCTACCTGTGGTTCCAAATAAACAGTCTTGCACAATGTAGCCTGATCCCATAAGCTGGGGCAAAGGGAGTAGCATAAGATTTGCTGTATTGTTCCAACCCCACTTTGGGATGCACCTACACTGGAAGTATCATGTGGTAGCTGGTTAAACTGGCTTTGTGTCAGTTTTGTGTCTCTGGAATAGTGTGTAGAAGCCAGAGCAAGGGCCAGAAACAAATACAAAGCCTTTTATGCACGGCACTCAGAAAGAGTCGGTTTCTTGTTCTGAATCAGTATTAACAGAGGCAACTAATGAGTGACCTCATACCCAAGTTACTTACTTGTTAAAACTTTTACAGAATGCTTTCAACTATCTCCTGGTTGGGAAAACTATAATACAGGAATTTAAAACCCGACTTTAAAACTTGGACCTGACTTTAACGAACAACACTGGGGCCCACGACCTAAAAGATGCACATTTCCACATCCCAGTACATCCAACATACAGACAACTCCTGATTCACGATGGGACATGAACATATCCAATACAGAATGCTTCCATTTGGTCTCTCCACTGCACCAAAGGGGTTCTCCAAAAGTCTTGGTCTACTACCAGGTTGCAGCTCACCTATGCAAACAAGGGATTATATTTTCCCCATACCTGGATGACTGCCTCATCAAAGGTCATTCATACAAGGAGACAGAAACAATCACAAGACTCAGCCATCAACCTCTTACAGAGATTAGGGCTTCAAATAAATTTTCAAAAATCTACTTTGATACCAGCATTACAACTAGAATTCATCATGGACTATCTAGACTTAACTGAAGCCAGAGCCTCATTACCTCAAACCAGATTCCTGACTATCAAACACCTCAAAGACAACATGTCTATCTGCCCAAAAATTAAGACACAAACATACCTACAATTACTGGGTCACCTGACCATCACCACATTCGTGGTGAAGTATACCAGACTGCATATGATGTGCCTCCAGGGCTGGCTGAAACCCACCAACCATACTCACCATGGTGGTTATACCACTCACACAAGTGCTAATGTCATTACAATACTGGACAAAAAGAACATCTGCGTAGGTGTCCCCTTCTGTAGACTTCCATCTATCATGATCACTATAGATGCCTCCCTCCTGGGCTGGGGAGCACACCTAGACCACCACATGATACAAGGAAGGTGGTCAACATTGGAATCACACCTACACATAAATCTTCTAGAACCCAACACCTTATGGAATCCCTGCCTTCACTTCCTACTGCTCATCAGAAGCAAATCAATCCAAGTAATGTCAGACAATATTACATCAATGAAGAAGGCAGGGCCTGATCATGTTCCCTATGCATGAAGCGATGAAACTATGGAATTGGTGCATCCAGGATCACGTCAACAACACTGCTTCCTATTTACTGGGGTGTCAGAATACTACGGCTGATATACTAGACAGGTGATTTTCAGAGGAAATGAATGGGAACAGAACGTAACATAACAAATATTCTATGGGGAGTCCCATCTTTTGACCTATTTGCCACATCACAGAGCCACAAAATGCTCCCTGTTTTGCTCCAGAGCAGGACTTGGCCCACCCCACTCTCATCACTCTCTGGGGGACACTTTTCTGATTCAGTAGGACAAGACACTTAAGTAGTATTCCCACCCATCCCACTAATACACAGGATTCTAAGCAAGGTCAGGGACAACAAAGCCAATGTTGTCTTAATCACCTCAGCATGGCTCAGGCAGACCTGGTACCCTTACCTGCCGTGCATGGTGGTCTGTCTCCCGTCTGGAACAGCAGATGGGACTCCACACACAGTATTTACTTTCACAACTGGAAATGTGTCTTGGTAGTGTGCCTGCAAAAAGGGCTCACTCCCTACACAACACCTCTTCCTACAGTATTGAAGTGCCTGGTAGAGCTCATGAACTCGGAGCTATCATTCAGCTCTATCAAAACACATCTCACGCAATTAATGTGTTCCACAACAAAACAGAAGGATTCTTGGCATTTACACATTCCACCACCAAAGATTTCATGGGGCTTCAGAAACTTTGCCCAGAAGTAGTCCCTCCCATTCCCACATGAGATCTACACATAGTCCTTGGGAATCTCATCAGACCTCCCTTTGAAACCTTAGCGACTTGCTCTTTACTACACATGTCAATGAAGGTACCATTCTTCCTTGCCATTACATTGTCCAGAAGGAGGAATGAAATAAATGCACTGATGACCTACACACTCTTCTTAAAAATAAGGTCATGATGTGACCTCACTCTAAATTCCTCCCAAAGGTGTCATCCACTTTTCACATCAACCAGCTGATACACCTGCCTACATTCTACTCTAAACCACACAAAACCCCACAAGAGGCTGTACTCCACAACCTAGGGGTTAGAAGAGCAATAGCCTTCTATTTAGATAAAATAAAACATTGTGTAAATCCTCTAGGCCAACAATGAGTGGGCTGCATCAGTGGACTGCAAGATTGAAATAGGACAAGTGCAATAACCAAGACCCTAAGACTAAGATTAAATACATTTAATTTGAGTCCCCTTCTTTATCATGCCTCTTCAACATAAAATGATCCATTATAAGGGGCAAATTAAATTGTCAGCAAAAGTCACATGAAGAAACAGAGGGAGTGCATGGATCTCACATTGTTGCGTGCAATCAGCACACACCCTTGCATTAAGTGTGTGTCACTGCCTAATACACTCCAATAATGCCACAGGATAATAACTGTGCACACAGTGCCTGCCCAGGCACTGCCACTGAAGATCTCTGATCAGTAGTGCCAGGATGCAGACACACCTAAAATGGAGCCTCCACTGGGACACACATCTCAAAGAACATCAGTTACTGTCCAAAGTGAGTAATTTTCTCTTTTTGTTCTAGAGTCCTCCTATGTTTAGAGGAGCAGGACTATGATGCAATCTTGTTTGTTTACATTAAAAATACAGGCTATGTCTACACTACAAGGTTTTTGCGCAAAACCAGCTGTTTTTGCACACAAAAAAAAGCCGGGGAGCATCCACACCTCAAATGAACTCTTGCGCAACTAAATGGGCAGGTAAACAGCAGAACAAGGGGCTTTTTCCACCGTAGGTAAACCTCCTTTTCTGAGGCAACAAGGTGGGGGGAGCAGGAGCCAGTGCTGGGGGAGAACAGCTTAAATGTCAGGTGGCAGGGGAAGCAGGACGGTCAGGGGCTTACCTACCAGCTCTTAATATATTTAAAAATCAGAAGTGCAGTAGGAGGGACCTGGCATGAGCTGGGACAGCTGATTCCCGGCTCATGCCAGGTCCCCCCATTGCACTCCAGTCTTTTTACATTTAAGGCTGGTGCACAGCAGGGGGACCCACATGAGCTAACAAATCAGTTGGCCCAGCTCATGCCAGGTCCCCCCACTGCACTTCAGCATTTAAAATGCATTAAGAGCATATATTTCAAAGGCAAACCCACAGCGGGCCAGGAGATAACTCTGCTGCAGCACCCCTGCTTATCAACTAATCGACTAGTCGATGGAAAATCCTTCGACTAGTCGATTAGTTGATTAAACTAAATTTAACATCCCTAGTTTGAGCATCTAAGTGAAGTTTGTGTCTTTGTCTACATTTGCAATTTAACATTGTACAACGTTTCAAATGTGAGTGTTGCTCACATCTTTGTTTGGGGCGGGGTAACTTTTTCAATGTAATCCATACTTCCTTGCTCTATTCTTCCTCCATCCATGCTTCCCCCATATTCACTTTCTCTCATCTCTTTTTCTCCACTGATTAAAAAGGACTCAGTGCCTGGTAGCTCAAAGCACACTGGATCTTTGTCAAGTAAGCTGATTTCTAAGAAGAGCCCAAGCACAATGAACAAAAGGAAAAACTATGTAGCACTTTAAAGACTAACAAGATGGTTTAATAAGTGATGAGCTTTCGTAGGCCAGATCCACTTTCTCAAATCTGAGGAAGTGGGTCTGGTCCACTGTCATCATCTTGAGGGTTAGCGAGCATCCTGGGGACTAAGGGGTTAACTATGGCCGTTACCTAAACCAGGTGGCAAGCAGCCAATAGAAATGTAGGTAGGAATTTCAAACTGGACAAAGGAACTTTGGGGAGTTGCCCTCCTTTGTCCTCTTGTTTTAACAAGATCAGACTAATACGGCTACCTCTCTACTACAGGCACAGTGAAGAGAGTGCCAACCAAAGTTCTCATCTGCATCTGCATAGCATGTTGGAAATCTGGCCCTACCGCACATTCTGGACACCAATCCAGCAAGCAAATGCCTGTGTGTCATCTGGGCTAGTCTGGGCATGCTTCTATGTGTGACTTAACAGGCAGTGATCCATTTAGACAAAGTGTCAGATAGGAGAGTGCAATGAAACCAATTGCTTTCACAGACCTGACCAGTACATTACAGCTTGCATGTGCCTTACCTCCATCATAAATACTCTGTAAAATATGTGCAACTTCTAAACAAGCCCAGAGTGACATTCCCATATTGTATCTGTCAGCTTCTCAGGAAATGTTCCAAGGAGCTTGGCTTGAAGGCCGTCATGTTAGCCAAAAGTAACACCCCGTTGTAGGCAATACCACCTAGCCACCTGCAGCATTATTAAGGCTAAAGCATTAACTCTGGCAGTTCTGCTTCTCCATCTGCATCCGTATGGCCAAGAAGATGAAATGTCAAATATTCTTCATATGAAGTGACACGAGTGTGCTCTGTTTTTGCCATATCTCTTGTTTCAACTGCCACAAGGTGTCTGGGGAATGTCATACAGTTTACACAGTAGGGCTTGAATGAGAGAAATTTTCATTTTTGTCCTCAGCTTTTAGCTCAGATGATTAGCAACTTGGCAGAAAACAAAGTCAATCTGTTTCATTATCTCAGTCAAAATGTTTCCTAGAGGCCTTACTTTTATCATGATCTCTAAATGAAATATGAATGTGCCAGAAAAAATAATTAACTCTAAAATGTGAGCTGTGACTTTCCTAATTGCAGCTAGTCTGTGGTTTGAAGCTGATACTGTAATGAATTATCTAGTGCTGTGTTTCTTAATCTAGGGCCACATATGCAGCTCTCTGTGTGTTATTTTGGGCACATCCACAGAGTAGATATGCTACTTGTACGGATGTCACATAGACTACAGCTATATTCTGATTGGGCCACGGGCAGCTTGTGGCCTGAGGAGCAGAGTCTTAACTTACACACCCAATCCTATTTAGCCAACACCAGACCAAAAAAGCTGCCTTGCCTAGTAGTCACACTATACTCACAGTCTATTGCTCGGCTTTCTTGCTTTTTTGTCAATGCCTCTCTTCTTTCCTCTTCCTTCCTACCCCCTTTGTCTATTGTGAGTCACTGTGTGTTCTCCCTTCACACATAAAATACTCAGCAACTCCCCTGAAATAATTGGGAGAAAAGACTGAGTCCCAGCAAATCATAATCATTATTTTTTAAAACTGTCAAAAGTAATATGGTATAAGGTAACTAGACAGAAGAAACAAATGCACTAGAAATAAGTTCCTACAAACAACATTTTAAATATGTAATAAATGAGACTAAAAGCATGTTTAGCACCTGTTCCTAATGATTCCCATGGACTCATCAGCTAGGAGCACGCATGATATTATCTAATGCTTGTACAATGCATGTTACAAAATAGAAAACTGAGGCACCAAGAGGTAACTGATTTTCCAAAAGGTAAGCTCTAAATCCCTGGTAGATCTAGAACTAGAACTTTTGCATCCTGAGCGCCATGCTTCAAGCAGCATGATATATTGTCTGCTGTCCATGAACATGCACATGGGAAATGTTCCTGAATGTGTTGAACTAGATAAACAATTCATTATCTTTCTGTTGTAACATTGTAATCAGAGGAGGAGTGTGCTTTATCTATTCGAATGTGACCTTTAAGAGAAATATAGGAAATACTCAACAGTGATTAAACGGCCGACCACTAGATGTCGCCCTTGCTCCATATGAATACACATGAACATGGAAAATGACAAAATTACTAAGAAACAAGAGAATTACAATTTACAAATGTAATTAGACATTAAAAAATGAGTCAGCTATTACATCTGACTTTCCCCCAGAGAGTCTGATCATGCAGTCTTTGCACACACAAAATATCCTAATGTTTTTAAGATTGAACTCCCATTTTTTGTTAAATAGGTATTTATTATTTATAAAATATCTTACCTTATTCTCTGGTGTTGAAATTCATCCCCATGCAGCGGGCCAGCACAAAAGTGAGACATCACTAAAATTCTAAATACCACTAAAGAGCTATGACTAGTGGTGTATTGCCTGTGTATGTATTATATGCCCTATGACCAGCTGAGAGAGAAAGACAATTCCACCTGAACCTTGAATGTACACGGAGGGGACACCATTTTGAAGAACAAAATAGTATCTGCCACATAGTGTGACCTCATATGCACTGTACGACCAAGGTCACAGAATAGAGGATGCCATGTTTCATGTAAGGGTAGAATTATATTTCTGTTGAAAGTCTCCCCCTCTGAGTCCAACTTTTTATAAAGCTCGAGGCCTTAGCACATTTCCTCACTTAACTTAGGAGGAAAAGAAAATTCTTGAGGCATTTAGCCAAAGGCAAGAAGAGCCAACATTTTGTGCATCCCCTGGCCAGAAGCTCACTGTCCTATTCAGTTTCAGGCAAATACACTACATTTCCAAAAAGGAAATTACAAAAAAAAAAAATTCCAAACACAAATTTTGCTTAAGAAAGTTTGCTCCTTGAGAGGAATTCTGCACTGTATTGTAAATGCCAGTAGGGAACAGTTATGATATATAAACAATGAAATTAACATTTTGCCTCACAATTGGACATTTGTGGAGGAAAGGAAAAGTATAGGAGAATGTTACTAGTTAATACTCATAATTAGAGAGCTTGTGGAATCAAATTATCTTTCCCAACTACTTGCAAATTAGAAAGAAATAGAAAAATTTATTTCCCAACAGAATTAAGTTTGAGAGCTTAAAAAAACAGAATATAAAAAATTATCTAACAGGAAGAACTGGCTTGTTGGTTTCTCTGCTTTGCATAGGTAAGGAAATCTAAGTGAAGATGTTTTACTTCTTCTTTTCATACCTGGTAAACAGGATAGACTAAGTACTAGTAAATGTCACTTCAATATTTTCAATGCAATTAATGATAATCATTTGTTTAATTTTTTCACTTTGTTTTAGGTCTTTGGGAAAAGGTAAATGTGTTTTACGGAATAGAAGAATAGGTATTTTAGACAGATTGGTATGCTTTTTTGCTGTATAATTTAGTAGATGGCTGGCTTATCTTATTAATAAACCATTAACATATCTCTTAGCAGTGTTGCCATAGCTGTGTTGATTCGATGATATGAGAGACACAAGGCAGATGAGCAAATATCTTTTATTGGATCACTTTCTGTATATGGAAAGGACAAGCTTTCACGCATACATAGAAGTCTTCCAAACCTGCCATGTCTCATTAATATATCTGACAATTATACAGTATCTTTCATGACACTGCAGTATGTAAAGCAATAATTATAGATATCAGTCCACCCAGTGCTGAAATGCTGCCGCCCCTGAAGTTTAGCCAGGCAGCTGGTTAACAGCATATAGCAATATTACACAGCATTTTAGGATAGTTAATAATTCTGTATCCAAATTGTCATTATAGGGATGGGAGAGCAATTAGGTAGGAATGGCTAAAGTATCCCAGCTAGAATTTGGCAGTGATACCCATGGTAACATTGCTATTCTTGCAAAAAAAAATCCATCTAATCTTTAATAACTAGGAGTGACCAGGACATAAGTTTTATACATGTTCTCTAGTCACCTCAAAGAACATTGATTCAGTAATGACTCAGAGAGATCAGCACCACATATTGAAACATCAATATATTCACCAAGAGCACTAAACTTCCTTCTGCCTATGAAAATTTTCCCCTACCTCCCCAGTGGCCTGAATTTCAAGCACTGAGCATGCAGGCTAATGAAGAATGCAGCCAGCAGTTCCCATGAAAGTCTTTGGGTTGGATCGGAATGTGTTGCTTAAATAGTGTACCTGATTAGTGCTGCACAGAAGTGAACTCTATCACAAGCCATTTCATAACCAGATCAAAGACAAACATACAATATCTTTTTTTCAGGTAAGACTTGATAACATCAATTGCCAGGAGCATTTTCAAATGTGGGTGCCTAAAAGTTGGCATCTAAATTCATATTTAGGATCCCAATTAAATGGTCTCATTTTCAAGATGCTATGTGCCACTGAAATCAGCAAATAGTGGGTTCTCAAAACCTCTAAAATCGGGCCACCTTTAATTGTCCATCCAAGCCAGAAGAAAGGAGACCATGGGTAGGGTTAATGAGGCTGCAACTTTATTCATTTGTAATATCTGGGGGTATGTCTACACTAGTCCCCTAGTTTGAACTAGGGAGGCTAATGTAGGCATTCGAAGTTGCAAATCAAGCCCGGGATTTAAATATCCCAGGCTTTATTTGCATGTTCCCGTCCGGTCGCCATTTTTAAATGCCACTAGTCTGGACTAACTGCCTGCGACTACACGCGGCAGTTAAACGGTAATTTGAACTAAGTCTTTAGTTTGAATTATCTGATTTAAATATCCCAGGCTTTATTTGCATCTTCCCGGCTGGTCACCATTTTTTGAAATTTACAAGTCTGGACTAACTGCCCGCATCTACATGCGGCAGGGACTCGGTAGTTCGAAATAAAGCCCTAGTTCGAACTGCCTGTTAAACCTCATTCCAGGAGGAATAACAAGTAGTTCAAACTAGGGCTTTAATTTGAACTACCAGGTCCCTGCCACGTGTAGACACAGGCAGTTAGTCCAGACTAGTGGCATTTAAAAATGGCGACCGGACGGGAACATGCAAATAAAGCCTGGGATATTTAAATCCCGGGCTTCATTTGCAAGTTCGAATGCCTACATTAGCCTCCCTAGTTCAAACTAGGGGGCTAGTGTAGACATACCCTGGGAGTTTCCAACAACAAATTGTACAATGAAGGGAGGAGAGAATCGATCCCCTCACTGATCCTGACACAGGAACCCCACCCACCCTATCTCAGCTCCCTGAAATGGGGACAGGAAAAGGCAAGATAACAGGAGGAACTGGTCCCTTCTCACAAGACCTAGGAGCCTAGAACCCTCCTACTCAGTTCCCATAATGGATGCCTTACTTCAAATTCTTCCATACCAAGTACCACACTGGACAACAGTCATGTGGAGACATAAGAAAAAACTGAGGTGAACAATATTTGCATCTAGTGCATGTTCACTGGCTGTTCAAGAGTGTATCAGGTGCATCAGCTGGTGCCATAGCATGCCTCTTCTTCCTTGCCAGTCTAGGGTTGCTTAACTCCCCAGGCTTAGATGTGAAAACCCTTATCACTTGTAGGCTCATCTGTGCACCCAGAATGCAATTCACTGCCTGCAAGTCCACACTACTCCTCACTTTGTCTATTTGCAAGATGCTCCAGAAAGTGATGGAAGAGACTTAGCTCTGCTTTTCTATCTGAGGTCTCATGTATGTCCTCTATGCACAGAATGCTATCACCCGAATTGCCTGAATCACTGTGGCCCCTAGTTCTAATGAGACTGCAGTCATAGCAGCCCTTACCCAGAAAGAGTGGGAACTAATTTCTGACTGATAACATGAAGCTTTTGTTTGAAAATGATCATACTGTTGCAGCTCCCAGTCTAAATCACTCATCCTCTCTAACCTCCAAAT